CACCGAGTGATATTCCTGCTTTGTTATGCAGGCGACGAAAGTCATCACACTATAACATATCAGCGCATATGTTGCGTGGAACAGGAAGCCGAACATCGTTGTATACAACGTTTTGGTAGCAATTTCGAACACTGCAATGCCCAGTAACGACACGGGACTGAGAAATAGCAGTCAGTGATTTGGGAGTCACAAGGATATATTTTCCAGTGGCGGAAGTAAACGACGGATTGTGGCACATAATCATGAGAACTGCCAGTATCGATTAAAGCATGCAGTTCGGTGTTGTTTACAAGAAATTTTCTTGTTGTACAAAATAAGCAGCTTGGAGCTGCATGCGTCAAAACAGAAGACCAAAGTGGATGTAGTGCTGAAGTGAAGAAGCGGGTTTGGATGTACACACACACGTTTGAAATGCTCCGTTTTCCCACAGACTTTGCAAACGGCATCTTTCTCGGGGGGCACTTTAAGCGGGAGTGTTTAGTGTACATCCAGCTGAGTTAATGAAGTGATGATGAGTATGTGGAACAGAATTTGTTGAGGCACGGGAATGGTTTCAGTTCCATAAAACTGTGACTGTTCTAGAGCTACTTCCAACCATATTGCCATACCATAAACAGTTTGAAAGTTTAAGGCTGGCTGCTCCAAGAGCGTCGTTCGAATACTGTTTGATTGTAAGCCGGTTATAGGACCATCACGCATGGCATCGTTGCAATATCTGTTAACTAAGACAGAGCGAAAATTGTAGCCCTTCTTCAAAAGTTTAATGATTTGCATAAGCAGGTCGATCTTTTGCACACATTTCTGCTTGCATGTAGTTAAAAGAACCGATCAGAAACCACATTTTTAGGGCGCACATACAAGGATTCAGGAAGTGAAACAGCACTTTCGAAGGTTCTGCATTCAGCGACACGCTGATACACGAAAGAAGACAGCAAGTAGACAGGCTTGTCCACATTATTCCATTCGTCAGATTGAACACGATTTAAAGAGTTGTTCAGTGTTCGAAACCAATAGGTCCAATCTTCAGTGACATCTGGAGCATTTGAATCTTTGTCGTAATTATCGGAACGGAGATAGCGGTCCAGTAAGTTGATGTGTTGGACCGATACAGCACAACAAACAAAATAACACGGAGTAGGAAGTATACACCTTACTGGTCTAACAATAAGGGTTCATCGGCTGAAAGGTAAAAGATTTGATTATGATTAATACGTAAGAGGGGGCAAGTGAATGCTAGCGACAGCTCAGCTAAACAGGGCAGCTGTGTTAACGCCCGTGCGATAGGAGATGAGATCACAAACCTGAAATGCCTTTGCCAATCTTCGGCATTTGGAGTGCCGGCGCGACATCACTCATCCTGTATAGTGGAGTCTGCCACAATGCCGTTCGTTTCACTCTTGTGCGGTCGGGAAGCCTGGCTCATCAAATCGACGGACGCAGTTTTGTTGTTTTCGACTACCGGTGCTCTCGCAGTTAAGCTCACATGTGTGGTAGGGACACCGCGTGAGCAACGAGCATGTTCCCTGTCTTGTTTATGACAAAGGAAGAGGGATTGAACTGATCAGCACCATTATTCCATGCACCAGGTTCTGATGACTGGGTTATCTGTTACGCATGCTAGCGCACCGGGGTCTGGATGAAAAAAGAGGAGAGGCAAACAGTTATTGAAGTCACACTGAATTTGTTATCGATTGAAGCGTCCCGATTCCGTAGTTGGGGTCCGAAAACGGTGAACACGTTCATTTGAATACATTCGTCGATATGACGGGTAACCGTCTGTGTTGTGAGTTTCTTTATCTCGCCCCATTCTACGTAGACTCTTCTCGCAAACAGGTTCTCCTCGTGAACTCATAATAATATTTTTATTTTCTTGCTTCTTCTTTGCCACCTGATTGAATTGTATTGCGGCACAACAGCTGGGGTGTTTCTCACCTCTAGCTAGTATGTAATGTGATGGCGGTTACATGATAGCGAATCGCCGGTACGAAAGCTTCCGGCAACTTGTTACAGACGCTCACGCAGCCTGGTGCGTCACAGGTTCGCGCATTTATTAGTAACGTCTTTCTGTTCAAGTATATCAATCTGAGCGGAATGAACCACTGAATCGAATGCGTTCTTGCAATCGAAGAACAGTTATACTCGACATGCAGTACCTATGATATTGGGGTAGCACCTACTGCAGAGCGGAATTTTGATCTATGTAGCGCCGTGCTGGGCAATGAATCACCACAATTCCGCAGCGGTGTGGTAGACAACAATGCCACCGTCAAGCGGATAAACCTGTGGCTAACACAGATGTCTCAATGACACTGAGTATTGCCACTATGGTCGATTTGACCAAACTGCCTAAGACGGTCTCTTTCTTTCATGTCTGCGCACGGAGATGGGATATGGCTACTCATGATTCCACGGAACCGGTGCTCCACACTCACTGTCAGACGCAACTTGTCCCTTGTGCCCACTGTAAATGGACCTGGAAGACTATGTCGCGTTAACACGTTTTGGTCAAAAATCTTATCATGTTTAATACATTTACGAATTTGCTGATGATTTTGCGCTCACTGTCTTGCTTCTGACTCTCAAATCCTCCGTTCGACCCTCTATTTTATCTGGAAATAACCTTTGCTCCGTTTTCCTGATCGAGCTGGTTGTTTCTTGTTTTGGGCTACGCAATACCTTGGCGGACGGATCACGACTTAGCCTTGTTTCCATTGCATCCAAACTCCTGACGGGTATCATTCTCCGACGATTTACTGGTCCCCTTGAAAACCGGGCTGGTTTCCGCCCTGGCCATGGTAGTATCGACCACAGGTTTACTCTTCGCCAAGTGTTGGAGCAGAGACACATTCAGACGACCGACAATGGTGGTTTCCCTTGATTTAAAAGCTACCATCGACTGTTGACCGCGCCAACTTGCGGCACTGCCTATCCATGAGGGGTGTACCAGCTAAATACCTTTCCATTCTTAAGTCTCTACCGTGTAATGGTCTACGGGAAACTGTCTAGTTCCTCACGACAAGTGGGGTTCGCCAGGGTTGTTCTATATCTCCCTTCCTCTTTGTTATCGAAATAATCTTTCAGACTCTACCGGAGTGGAAGTTCTATTAAGTGACCGACATAGCTCTTTTTGGGTCCGACGCAGTGGCTATGCAAACACTGCTGGATAGACTGACGCGTAGCACAGCACGGTTCGGCATGTGCTGTGTGCCTTCAAAGTGCTAAGTACTGCGCAGGATTGGACTGACACACCTCCAGCTTTAGCTATCACATCTGATGGGATCACCGAGTGAGCAATGCTGAGTTCCGCCAGTTGGTTTCTGGTAAGAAACCTACTGGTTCCTCACTCGAGTGTTTCTGAACTTTAACTGCCTACGCTGGCTAGATCATGTCCTCCGTACGCCCGTTGACCTGCTGCCTCGGCGTGCATTATATGCTGTGGCTGCACCAAGTTGGGCGAAACCGCGAGGTGGCAAATCCATGACGTGACATGGGAACATGAAGAAATTGACTGAGAGACTTGGCCAGGCTGGTGTGTGCCGTCTTCGTGGATGGGTGCCTCGGGATGGTCCACACCGATGGTTGGAGACCGTATCAGACACGGTGCAGCCATGCAGTCAGTGGCGTTCCTGTATTCACTTTCTTGCATCCGGTTGTTAATTTCTGTTCCATTCTGATTAGCTCAATGCACTTCCTTCTTACTTTATTTTCTTCACAATCTATTTTCATTTAACTCCACTGCCTTGTCGTCGTTATTTATTGTTATTCTTGCGATGAGTCGTGGCAACTAGATCCACCGCACTTCGGTGCTCGGATCATAGTTGACCAACTGTACTGGACTTGCTACTGATAAGCTCCGCCTGTCCCGTTTACCCTCGGGAGCGTACAACACGGGCTACACGCGATCCCGTTTATTTATTGTTACTACCGATGGACGTGTCCCGCTGCCTTTGCTGTACCTTCAGTGGCTAATACGTGACGATAGTCTCAAGTTTACTGAGCAAATTGATTTACATTCTTGCAGTACCTATATCCATCTATTTTCTGGGAACTCGCTGATCACTGGTGAAAATGGTTAAGCACTTGTAACTTGGGTTTCGTTGGGAGGATAAATGTTTTTTATGGTGCGCTGCTGTATTTCTCGCAGCTTCACCGAACCAATTGGATGATATTGTGTATATATGGGTAAGGTGTGCTTAGCATAATTGCATAAGATCATTTGACACAAATAATTCAGCGGTTTTGACAATACAACACGAAGAGAGACGGAAAGCAATTCGGAACGAAATGTAACTTGAAGGTTAGATGACCCACTCTACCTCTGTTGCTGTGCTTCGATCTCGTGATTGTCTTGGTGTTATGCGGGCATAAAAGTGGAGACAAACAACAACGTTGGCTCCTCGGCGAATCAGGAAGACCCTGCGCCAAATGTTCATATTATTACTATCCAGGGCTGAACGCCATAGGCCATTATGTGCCTACCAGTTCAAGGCGGTGTTTCCTCTGAGTTAAACAGTTATGTGAACCTCCAACTGGCGACACAAACGGGAAAAGTAAATGAACCTGTCTCAGATTGTGTGTGCGCACATGGAAATGCCACGCTCGACCCCCGCCGCCATTGTTTTCACGGTTACATGTGGACTGACCCAAATGTACACTTATGGGGGAGGTAGGATACAGTCTCTCTGTGCGCGTCTACGCACGTGGTTTCTGTAGTCAACAGCCCTTAGTCAATTGTTCAGACAGGGTTCTCTTCTTAGATCCACAGGCCTTATCAACTGCAGGACGCCTGCTCGACAGTCGCTTAAATTTGCGATAGATGGCTTATGTGAGAAACAGAGTAACATCGTCTTCCTCACTGAGGCGCTTGTTCCTCAAAAATCTTAATGCCAGAGCACATTCCATAGTCTTTCGGAGATATTTACCCAAATCTCCACATCAGCCATGTTGTGAGATTGAGTTATTGTATCGTGCACGTTCTTAGATTTTTTCACATTTTCATTTGCAGCCATCCCTTCAAAATGACATATCATCAAATGTATCGGCGGACGACACTAGGGAATACCCTACAAGAGGCACTTGATGAAATGGTGGCTCACAAGTTGTTACAACAGAAGACCGCTTTGAAGGTTATACAAAAGTTCGACCAATGTATCAGCTTAGCTTTGGCGAAGCGCGTCAAGAATCGTTTATCACTTCGGGGCCATCTGAACACTTACCGGTTCTGTGATAATGTTTGGACTTTAGTCATGAACGACGTCGAAATAAAAGATTCCTCCGCAATCATGACAGTGGACAAGGTCAGTCCTTCATTTTACTGCATCCAAATGTTATTTGATACTCAAATCTTGCGTAGCGGACTTCGGCTGTGTGAATACTTGATTCGCATGCACAGGTGTTATCCGTTGTTCTCGATATTATCGAGTTTTGTCAAAAACCGCAGTAGCGCTGGTTATCATTGCAGGAAAATAGCCGTTTTCTCACGGAATCCAAATAACCCGCCCTAGTGCCAAATCTTAGGTTTAGTCTCAGTGTGGGAGTGGCCTGCACGAACCACTGGGCCAGCGATGCCGTGTATACTGCAGGGAACGCAAAGATTTGGACACGAATGTTTTAAATCGGACGCAACATTGGTCATGCCACAAGGTTCTCGCTTTGTGCTTGTTGCATACTTCCCTTCGCGTGAACCTGTAATAGCAAGTTGCTTTACGCAACGAAAAAACAGAAGGCATCAGCGTTACACCGGCACACGGCACTGACGCTTCGCTGCTACGCGACCACCACCGAGGTCGCCTGCATCTGAGCAACGAACAGCATCGCAGCAACCAGTGCATTACTAATTTATTGAAAAGGTTATCGGTGACAGTTGTTTGTATACCACATCCATCACTGTCTTAAGAACCATACCCTTATCTTCAGCCATGAGACATCAGGGAGCTGCGTGGCCGGCTATTAACGGCGCATTGTGGCTGCCGTTCGATCTGACGTTAGAAATTCACGTTCCAACTAATGCCACGTCAGTTATGAGCCAGAAAGGAGAGATACGTCAACACTTTTGTCGTGTAAATGGTCACTGGGCAATCCGGCTGTTGTTAGCGATCCCACATTATCTACTTTCATAGTGATCGTCGTATTTATTGAACTTCGCCCAAACCACTAGTAAATCGATGACATACTTGAGGATGAGGTTGAGGAGTCGAAAGAATCGGTTTGTTATCGTAGGTTAGTTTTATTAATGCGATCCCGCATCTATAATCAAGCACCAACGATTGGATCAATTCACGATGATTCGGGTAGAGGAAGCCATGGACTACTCACAGGTATGCCCGGCGCTACTTTGAAGAGCAGTTGAAAACCACCTGAATTAGTACCTACTTCCCGGAACTGGTGATTCACGAATACAGGCAGCACCGATCGTGAGTCTAGGTCTTTCTAAGCCTTTGAACAAAAGGATTTTTCGTTGCTATTTGGCGCCAGCCGATCGTAGTGTTTGCCTGGTTGAAACCTCCTAGACCATGAATAGCAGTGCCCGGAAACTTTTCCATGTCCTCCATCATTTAATCCCTTCGTACACAAGCAAGAACTTTGATTCGTGTTAATAATAATGTACTACTCTATGTATTAATCAGGAGCTAGTGACCGTTGTTTATCAACTATGCAAAATGAATGTACATTTGTACGCAAAGTATGAAAATAAACTTTTATGCGTGTGCGCAAATGTACACATTGTGTACGAAGTGATTAAAGACATCCACCGAGTAAAGAAGGCCTGATATCATTTATGATCCGAGCAACGAGGTGTGCTGGACCGTCAGAATGACTCGCATTTCCATCACGGGATGGAGTAGTGGTCAGGAGGTTAGAGTAATTGGATGTGTAGATTGGGAGACAGAGAGCAGGAATGGCTTCAGCCTCTTGGTTGTGCTCTATATTCCATATATTCGTGCTGTGCTCCCCCATGTAGCTCGCTGGGACAGAATCATGTTCAAGTCGATTTTTTTGATGACGCAAACACGGATCGCCCGGGTCATAACACAACGGATATCTCACCGGTTGCAAAGATTCAACTGGGACATCTGTGCATGCGTTTAGCGAAAATAAGTTATACGAATTATGATGGTATCCAAGTCGCGTCACCTTATCCCACACAATCGTCTTTCTCTTTGTACTTAGATCAAAATTGTGGCATGCGAAGGTAAAAGCGCCAAACAAACGCAAGTCACCGGCGGTGCGAGCGCCAACAATGCCGTGAAGCCGACCGCATCGAGCAGCGCGGAACGCGTCAAGGCGGCTCCTGTTGGAGATGATGAACCCAAGAGTTCATATTTGTCCGGCGACGAGTCAAGCTAGACAACATAATTCCCCCTTTGGTCCGTCATATTTTCCATGGTCGCGATTTTCAAGTACACTCAGGACGCTCCATTTGTATATGCTGTATTTATGCAAATAAACTCGAAAAGCACGTAAAACAGTCTTTCACAAAAGAGTAATCAAATACGGTCGATTTCATCTGTGCTATACCAAAAGCAGATATCACACTTGATAGGTGCTTGAAGCTACGGATCCACCACTTCCGGTCCAGTTGGCATGCACGAACGTACCAGGTTGGTCCACGCGTTCGAACTGGTGTGCCCCGAAGTAGTCTCGTTGAGCCTACAGGAGAAGGGTAACAGCGGTGTTTTTTAGATGTTATCTATGATATCAATGAAAGCAAACGCAATGGGACTGATTTGGCGAAAAGAATAGAGGTGCATTTCTATCCGGTATCGTGGTTGGTCAGATATGATACATGCTGCCGATGGCAGCTTTGCTGATGCAGCGACCCCGACATGTACATGAAAGTTCAGTACCGGTCCGTCGCTATTTAGCAGCTGCGCAAACGTTCCATGATGACATATGAAATAAGGCATAAGAAGAGGAAGAGAAAGGGGACTTACCTGAAAACCTTAATGCCCTAAGCAAACATTAAGGATCAAGGCGCCTACACCGTCACAAACAGCTGGCTATCGTGCAAAGATAAGGCGGTATCGGCGAGACAGCTTCCTTGCGGCTTTCACTGCCACGCATCATAATCAGCCATTACCGCGCAGACAACCCAGCACCAAACACACTTTAAACAGGCAATCCGATTAGCAGACGGCAGCAGACGCGCCACTGGTGTCGACTACGAGCCATGTCCTATAAAGTCAAGCACAAGGCGAGTCACATGGACTCCAGCCCGGAAGGCGAGACGGACCTACGGCACCCAGTTTGGTCGTCATTGATTTCATTTCTCGCTGCCAAGTCAACTTCTGTCCACCCCGAGCCTTGCGTCCCCACCCTACACCTGGTAGACTAAACAAGGCTCTCCTAGGTAAGCGGTGACCAGGCATACGTAGCACGTGTCCGAGCCAACGCAACTTATTCAGTGCTATCTGTTGTTCTAGGGAGCTAGCATGATTATCACTACCTAGTACTCGTCTACGCACATCATCGTTGCGGACACGCTGGTGCCATCTGACATCAGCAATTCTTCGCAGACAACGACGATCAAAGACTTGAAAGTGCCTCAGATCTTCAGACCGAAGGGGCCAAGTCTCACTTACCTAGAGCAGAACGGCCCTCACTGTGGCCTTGAATACACGGCCTTTCAGACGGGGGGAAACTCCCTTCTGTCGCTAAAGATTCCGCAGGTACAAGAAGGCAACCCTGGCCTTCGCAATGCATGAGCTGATTTCAGTTTCTATGCTGATGCAGCTGCCAAGATAAGTGAATTGATCAACCACCTCGAGTTCCTCGTTAGCAAGCGTCAAGGGGCTGGTAGACCTGCAGCAACACTTTGCATTTTGGAGGTGCGAAGTGCATACCAAATAATGGGACTCCTCTGGACAGGCTATTCAGGGTAGATTGTGCCACCGCAACCTCGTCGAAAAGCAAGACGATATCATCCGCATAACCTAGATCAACTAATCTTTCACTAGGCAGCACTTCAACGCCTACATCGTGAGATTCCGCAAGGGAACACTCCATGATAGAATCCACGACGAAATTGAACAGAAATGGGGAAATCGGACAAACCTGACGGACGCCACTTGTCACAACTGTTGTTAAGCTAATACCCCTGTAGTTAGAACAGTCAGTGCGACTGCCATTCTTGTATATTGCCACCATCCTTAAATAGTGTAGGTGGGAGGGAATCCGGGTCAGCGGTACGAAAACGATTGAGGACTGTGATCGCGTTTCGCACCTCGGCCTCCAACGAAGGCTCTAAGCTAACCGTCCATGGCTCGTCCTGCATCACCAGACTAGGAAGAGGTCCGGGAGCAGGGGGCCAGCTGAACTGATCTTAAAAGTGTTCCGCCCAACGAGCCATACGGCGCTCCTTATTGTGTATCAGTGCACCCGCGCTGTCTCTGATTGTCTCACTGACACCTGTGACCAGTGGTGCGAATTAGCTGGAAGAGCTTGCGGTAATTGCCTACTGCTCCTGTGTCCTCCATTTCTTGAGCCCGAGCGGTCCACCAGGCTTCCTTGTCAGCACGTAGGCTCCGCATTAGTTCACGCCTAATAGCCCATCTCGTTAAATATTGTTCACCGACCTCTCGGATATCCAGTGACTGGTGCATGACGGCCGAGATCCTATTCCACTGAAGCTGTGTCATTAGGACAATACAGCGAGAGTTCGGTACGCAGTGCGTCTTGATAGGCTGAGACAATTTCTCAGTTGCCAATAGGAGGGGACACTTGGTGCGCCTCCCGCTAAAGTTCATCATCATCAACAGCAGTACATCAGCCATTTGGACTGATGCTTCGCTGCTATACAACCATGAGGACCTATGAAATAAAGAATAAGAAGAGGGAGAGAAAGGGGGCTTACCTGAAAACCTTAATGCCCTAAGCAAACATTCGGGGTCAAGGCGCCTACACCTTGTGTAGACAACATACCGTCACAAACAGCTGGCTATCGTGCAAAGTTCATGGAGGAACGACAACGTACCAAGGCATGATCAGAGTCGACGCAGGTATTCCAGTATGAGCGGCAATTCAGGATGGAACCACACCATCTGTAACTTATGGCTATGTGGTCAATTTGAGTCCATCGCTGACCAGCTACAGGAGAACGCTAAGTGGCACTTCGGCGTCCACTGTGTCTAAAAGCAGTGCTACTAAGAAATAACTGGTGCTCCGCACACAGTTGCAGCAGACGCTCACCGTTGTCAGTCCGTCCGGAGTCAAGCCCATACCACGCAGCTGAGCTTCTGAAGAGCTCAGACGCCCTACTTGTGCGTTCATATCCCCTGCAAGTACTATAATATCTGAACTAGTAGCACTGCGTAGTAGCGCGTTCAGTTCGTGATAAAACGTGTCCTTGACAGCATTAAAACTGCAGTCGGTGGGAGCATAAACGGAAATCACAAACAAACAGCTTTTTGTATTACTTCGTGAATCCACCTTAGCTGATGTCGTCAAACGGGCTGCACATAAACGGCTGTTCACCGGAATCCAATCAACTAACAATGGCTCAGCCTTGGAGCTGAGAATGATACCTACACCAGCTTGATCCGTGAGTGCTGCATCCGCGTCTCCGGATGCGTGCAACCAATAACGAGAGGATAAGCCGGGTGCAGTTAATTCAACAACCCCGTTATGATCATTAATCCCAGTTTCGGACACAACACACGTCAATGCCCAGTGTGTCCAAGGTGCGTGCGAGTGCAGCCTGTTAACCTGTTTGTCTTAGAGTGGGAACGTTGCGTGTCGCCATGGAAACGGGATAGCGTGGCCTTATAAGGGGTTGTTGCCGATAGGTGTTTTGGGATGGTGGCTTCAGATGGTTTTACTCCAGTGGCACTTCGGTTTCTGTCAATTAAACTGGGGATTATAGAAGGAAGGTTAATAATGGGGGTCGGGATGGGAGGAAGAGAAACAGGTGGAAAAGAAAGAAGGGAGGCGCCAGCAGTAGCGTGTTTTCGCTTATCCGCCCTGCTGTATACAGCAGATAAGGCGACCCTTGATAATCTGCGCGACGGCCGATGCAAGATGTAGTTGAAGTTTGAAGAAAATGTCATGGTGGTATGTGAGCTGAGATACTGCCAGTGCGCCCAGACCTAGACAGGAGGACGATTAGTGTCCTCATCCAAAGCCTTTGGCTCAAAAGAGTGTCCGCAAGGAAGTGGAGAGGTGGCAATGATTTAATTTTACAGAAACGGACGCCATCCCATTTCAAACTCCCCAACCTGGAGGACCAAGAGACTGAGTTTGTCTAACCTCTCACCATTGACCAACCTGGTAGGAGTAGCTCTCAAGATGCCCGGAGACATCACTCAGTATAGCTCAATGGGTCAAGGAGGTACGCAAATCGTCGCACCACGTTAAGACCCAGTCTCGTTACGACACGTTGTTACCAGGCTCATCCCGAGTTTACGTGGCTTGGGGTATGAAGACCGGTGCGAGAAACCAGGACTATACACCTTGTCCTACGGGCGGGTGCGAGTCCATCTCATTATGACCTACTGTATTCTACATCTCGGTGACTTCCCCATGCTGAGGCCAATGATGCACTTACGAGAGCCATGCAGCACACGCAGACACAGTTACAAACTTGTCGTGTTGGATGTGAAGCGAGTTCCACACCCATTGAGCTTCGAACACTTTGCTCGAACATGTGATGGAGGCAACATCTGTGTACCAGTTCAAAACGTTGTTAGATTTATATTTTACCACTAATCGATTCAGAGAACGATTGCACACTTACAAGGACATCTCACATTTGTGAATCCTGCAATACCGTGATTCAGATATTTTAAATGTTACATGAGAACAATAAGGATATTCACGGCTGACAATTTTTATAACGTTTTTCACATACTTCAAAATAGTTGTACAGAATTCACTCCTACTTGCTCTATAGTACAGTATTCAAAAATTATCCTTCACCAAGTTGTTATAATCACTAAGGTCGCGCCAGTCCGCTGTTCGGAAAAACCTGCTCACTCCGATTGGCAGATCAAGAAGTCAAGATTGCGATATCGGTTTAATAGCCGCCAGGCACCGATATTTGTTGCTCCTCGTGACCTTCCTGTTCTCTCCTATTCCTCACTTACCAATAATAGTATTCGACTGTGCGATAACATTCATATGATCAACTAATGCAATAATTCTACTTGGTTTCTGGAAAACCGTCCATTCCATATATATATATATATATATATATATATATATATATATGGTGCTGTAGAACATGCGGTCGCGAGTGCCTTAATCAGGCAAGCTTAGTGAGCCATGAGCGAGGCCACTCGGGACTACTACCGAAGCGACGACGGGTTCTGCAGAGAACATAGGCAGAACCGGCGCAGCGTTTGTAGGTACGCTGCATCCGATTTACTAACCGCGTGCTTGCATGCTAAGTCTCTTTATTTCAGGTGTTGGGTTTTCAATTTTGCCTTAATGCTTTTCTTTCGCATATAAATGTCTACCTGTACTCTATTCCATTAACTTGCACACCTGGCTTACACCAACTGTATTCGATTTTCATAACGGTTTTGTTTTCGTGGCATTTCCGCAAAGTATACTTTCTGACCTCGTGAACTTATCTAGGATTCGTCTGTAAACAACTTATTTCATATGCCTATTAACCTAATATTAACCTCACCGTTTCCTTATGCTTTAATCGAGTTATTTTCTTTGTCTCTCTCTCAAGTGATTGGCTGTCGTTTGATATCCCCGGTGTGACTGCGCTTGATGTGCATGTTGACAAGGTGCCTACCTGTCTATTACCCAATACCTCGTCCATACTGGCTCCAGGAGACAGTTGGTCGTTGCTGGAGGGGACAGGGTGCACGGTCCTTGTGGCCGTGTTAGGCTCGAAGAGTGGTTCCATGCACTCAGTGTAGAGCGGACTACGGTCCAGCCACCGCCTTGTGTTCGCTTGATTCCCAAATACAGCGTGCTTGTGTTTGCCTGTGAAGGAGTGTGGGCCGGCTCCGTTGATGAAACGTGGCTCCCATGCACATGCCTCCCGGTCCTATTCCTTCGGATTTACACTGGATATGGGGTGTGTGGATGGAGCTGTGGGTGGTGCAGCGCAAGCCATCTATGGTCCCTCTGTAGGCGCAGGCGTCTTGTGGCTTGCCACAGTGACAGGCAAATCCGAAACCAGATGCCGCCAACCATATATATATATATATATATATATATATATATATATATATATATAAAGGACGTTTTCCTACGTATTGTTGGGAAGCTGTTAGTGATTATCGACCTGAAACATTGGCGATGCGGTCGGGACGTTATTACCTCGACCACGAAGAAGGCTTACGACGTCACTGTGCGAGCAGTGCTGTCGCACGGAAGTGAACCTACTTCTGACAGTTGTTTCTTGCGCAGGATCACCTGTATGTGGTGCCGATATTGTGTTCGCCACAATGAGGCTAAACGTTATGTCTCCTTGGCATATGGGTCTCACTTTCAGTAGGTCAATCAAGATGGTTTAATCCCATCGTTGTCAAGCGAACCGCTGTGGCTGAATGGCGAAATTGAAGTTGCTGTCAGCACTTGAGGTAAATTCCTCTTGAAGGATGATGCAGGTGTGGGGGTCTCATGAGATAGCCTGTTCCAATTCCAGCTTCAGTGAAGCGCCAGTCGGCTGGACCAGTTTGGTACACAAAACAGCTACTGTCTTGAGGAAGCATGCGCGACAAAACACATCAACGCTAGCAAATTTCAACGATAAATATGACCCATGTTCAAAATGGAAGTCGAAATGAGCGTGCAGTTACCGAAATGCATCGAAAATGACAAAAAGTATTAGTTCGGGTGTGGAAACTCTTGATGAAAGAGTAATCATCTGGTGACATTCCAACGAGGTAGGGTAGGTCACTAACCTGAAGCAGATTGGCAGGAAGTTTTGCGCAGCGCAGACCGTCGTAGAATGCCAACGCAGAGCCAAAGGCGGCCACAGGGATACCATGTAGTGCGGCTTTAGAGACCACATCTCGCCAACCACTCTGATAGTAGAAAAGAAATAGACACGGATTATTAGCAAACATTCAAAAAGCAGCGACTGTATGATGCACTCCATCATTTAACTGTAATGTCGGCCAGTGGCCGAGGGGTCTGCGCGCCTGGATTGCGACACGCAATCCAATCACACAGCGGGTATTCCAAATCCAGCTTTAAATTCCTTACCGCTGTGCCAAGGGCTGCTCACGGATCTTGGAGCTATAGTGATTAAGACGTCAGCCTTTAACCAATAGGCCTTGAGTTCCACCCAATCTCAGGCTATCTCCGTCTGATGAGTTCATACGAGGACGAAACCGGTTATGGGGTGTTAGGGTTGGGAGGAGCAACACCGAACCACATCCAATCGTGGTGAAACATTGGTTGCTTGTTGTCAAATCTTGCGGTACTTCGTACCGCTGAGAGGAGGTGCTCTTAGACCAGGGGTTCCATCTGCCTTCTTTAAAAAGGAGAAAGATGTCTGGTGAAAATCACTGAGGTAGTGGTCTGGCAGAGATTAAGTCCAAAGTGCACACGCATATCACACTCAGATGCAACAGTGATTTTCATGAATGGAACAGATGAGTGGAAGTCAGGCACGCATCGGTCACAGAGCTATACCCATTCATTCGGAACCTGCATGGTGCCCACACACGGGACACCGAGTATGATAATCATCATCATCAGCAGCAGCAGCATTACATCAGCCATTTGAACTGATGTTTCGCTGCCATACAACCATGATGACCTACGGAACGAAGAATAATAAGAAGGAGAGGTGGAGTTACCAGAAAACCTTAATGACCTAAGCAAACATTAAGGGTCAAGGCGCCTACACCGTCACAAACAGCTGGCTATCGTGCAAAGATAAGGCGGCATCGGCGAGACAGCTTCCTTGCGGCTTTCACTGCCCCGCGTCATAATCAGCCATTACCCCGCAGACAACCCAGCATCAAACACACTTTAAACAGGCAATCCGATTAGCAGACGGCAGCAGACGCGCCACTGGTGTCAACTACGAGCCATGTCCTATAAAGTCTCGAACCAAGCACAAGGCGAGTCACGTGGACTCCAGCCTGAAAGGCGAGACGGACCAACGGCACCTAGTTTGGTCGTCATTGATTTCATTTCTCGCTGCCAAGTCAACTTCTGTCCACCTCGAGCCTTGCACCAACCTACGAGACATAGGTAACACGTGCCCAAGCCGACGCAACTTATTCAGTGGTATCAGTGGTTCTAAGGAACTAACATGACAATTACTGCCTAGTACTCTCCTACACACATCATCGTCGCGGACACACTGGTGCCATGTGACGCCAGCAATACTCCGCAGACGGCGATTATCAAAGTTGAAGGCGCCTCAGACCAAAGAGGCCAAGTCTCACTTCCATAGAGTGAGCGGCCCTCATTGTAACCTTGTAAACACGGCCTTTCAGACGAAGCAAAACTACTGTCACCAAAGATGTCGCAGATTCAAAAATACAGTTTTGGGCTTTGCGATGCGTGAACTGACTTCAGTTCCTATGCATCCATCGTTGCTGATTCAACCGCCAAGGAAGGTGAATATATCAATATCTCGAGTTCCTCGTTATCATGGGTCAACGGCTCATCAAGTGGCTGATGGTCCTGCAGCAACAGTTTACACTTTAAAGGTGCGAAGCGCATACCAAATAATGGGATCACCCTGGTGAGGTTATTTAGGGTTCAGTGGGCTGCCTCAACATCATTACACAGCAATACGACGTCGTCCGCGTAATCAACATCAACTAACCTTTCACCAAGCAGGACCTCAACGCCAGCATCGTGAGGTTCCGTGAGGGTACACTCCCTGATGGAGTCCACGACGAAATTGAACAAAACTGGGGAAACTGGACAAACCTGACGAACTCCACTTGTCGGAAAGATATTCGACAGGTCACCGTAGATTCTGTAGTGTACGAGTACATGGGACGTCAAATGTTCACATATTTCATGGAAACACCTTTCCGCGCAAGCATTTCGAACAAAATGGATCATTCGACTAAATCGAACGCTAAAGGAAATCGAGGAGCACAGCTATTGTCGGCCTGCGGTACATGCGGCGCTGCTCTAGCACCTGCCGCAGCGTGAATATATGGACTATACAGCCTCATCCAAGGTGGATACCTGCCTGCTCTTTCCTAATCCGGGATTTCCGTTCCGTAAGGAGGCGACGAACGAGAATTGGGGTCAGTAATTTTGTCACCACTGGCGTTAGGCTAATACCCCTGTGGTTAGCACAGTCTGTGCGACTGCCCTTCTTGTATGTTACCACTGTAGTTGATTCCCTCCAGTTAGCCGGGATGGTGAGGTCAGTGCTTTGCAGGATCTCACGTTTATCCTTAAATATTGCAGGCGGGAGGAAATCCGGGCCAGCAGCACGAAAACTATTGAGGACTGTGATCCCGTTCCGAACCTCAGCCTCCGATGGAGTCTCTAAACTAACTATCCATGGCTCATCCTGCGTCACCTGAGTGGGAAGAAGTTCGGAAGCAGGGGGCCAACTGAAATGATCATGAATGTATTCCGCCCAATAAGCCATACGGCGCTTCGTATTGTGCATCAGTGCCCCGCGCTGTCTCTAATTTTTTCACTGACGTTTTTTTCCTAGGACCAGTGGTGAGGGTCAGCTGGAAAAGCTCGTTATAATTGCATGCTGCTCCCGTTTTTTCCATTTTTTGAGGCCGACTGGTCCACCAGGCTTCCTTGTCAACACGCAGGCTCCGCTTTAGTTCGCGCATAATAGTCCGCCTGGTCACAATGTGCTCAGAGCCAGCCGAGAGTTTTCTTCTGGACTCCAACAAGTTCAGTGACTGGCGCGGTGAGGATTGATAGTGACACAAGCAGATGCTCTTGCGTCGGGCATAGCGGCCGAGATCCTGTTCCACTGAAGCTCAGTGTCATTAGGACAATGGAGCGAAAGTGCGTTACGCAGTGCAGCTTGGTAGGTTTGCCTGAACGAGGGCTGAGATAATTTCTCAGTTGCTAATCGGAGGAGAGGCTTGATGCGCTCAGGGAACAGGACAATCCTCTCACCCACACCCCGAGCTACACGTATTCTTGATAATTTCCAAAGTTCGTAGAAAGACGACAACGTACCAAGACATGATCAGAGTCGACGCAGATATTCCAGGATGAGCGTAATCCAGAGAGAAACCACGCAACTGTAACTTATAGCAATGTGATCAAAATGAGTTCCTCGCTGACCAGCTACAGGAGGATGACCAGTATCACTTCGGCGCCCACTCTGTCTAAAAGCGGTACTACTAAGAAACAATTGGTGCTCCGCACACAGCTGCAACAGACGCTCGCCATTGTCAGTCTGTACGGAGTTAAAACTCATATTTACCACCTTGCTGAGCTTCTGAAGAGCCCAGGCGACCTACTTATTCATTCAAGTAGTATGATATCTGAACTAGTAGCACTACGTGGTAAAACGTTCAGTTCCTGATAGAATGTTCCTTGGCAGCATCAGAACTGCAGTCGGTGGGAGAATAAGCGGAAACCAAAAACAAACAACGTCCTGTAGTACTTACTACGATAGTTCCCAGCTTAATTGACAGCAGCCGCAGTGCCACTGGAGTAATCCCATCTGCAGCTGCCTTCCCGCACCGCACACTGGACGCCCATCGGCAACAGTCTCTTATAAGACCATGCTGCCCCGTTTCCCTGACGGCGTTCAACGTTCGCACTTTAAAACAAATAGGTCAACAGGCCGCATTCGCACGCAAGTTAGACACCATGGGTATTGAATTGTGTTGCGTATCCGAAACTAGAACCATTGACTCTCATGAAGTTGCTGAATTAACTGCGCCCGGCTTGTCCTCTCGCTATTGGTTGCACGCATCCGGAGACACTGATGCGGCAGACTCTGGTCATGCTGGGGTAGGTATCATTCTAAGCCCCAAGGTGTGCCATTGTTGGTTGATTGGATTCCGGTGAACAGCCGTCTATGTGCGGCCCGTTTGATGACATCGACAAAGGTTGGGACTGGAAGGGGACAAAAGAAGGGAGGCGCCAGCAGTAGCATGTTTTTGCTTGTCCGCCTTGCTGTATGCAGCAGATAAGGCGACCCTTGATAATCTGCGCGACGGCCGATGCAAGATGTAGTTGAAGTTTGAAGAAATAATCATGGTTGTATGTGGGCTGAGATACTGCCAGGGCGCCCAGACTTAGACAGGAGGACGATTAAGGTCCTCAAAAGCATGTCCGCAAGGCATCGTGGTGTTGGCAATGATTAAGTTTTACAGAAATGGATGCCATCCCATTTGAAACCCACAACTTGGAGGAACGGGAGACTGTTTTTATGACCTCTTACCATTGATCAATTTGGTAGGAGTAGCTCTCAAGAGGTCGAGCGCACCAACCAGTATAGCTCCATGGTTCAAGGAAGTACGCAAACCGTTAAGGTCTAGTCTCGTTGCGATGGACAGTCCTCCCCAACATTTTTGCTACGGCTGGTCGTGATTGTATGACAGCCTAGCTTTGAGGAGTATGCTGCAACTCCCGGAGACGCTCTTCCGAGTTCTCTACGACAAGCAAAGCTGTTATTTCTCTTTCCATCCAACAGTCGAGGATCGAGTAGGTTCATGGCGATAACCCCGTCCGCTTAGCCTGGAGTGGTGTTTTGCTAGATGACAGACTGGAGCGGGACCCAGCTACCGTTTAAGCACTCATAACGCAAAGGGTGCACGATTTAGTTTTGGGTTCACGTCTTCAACTTTTAAGGTGCTGTTGCAAGAATGGACAAAGCCAACAATTCTAACTACCAAAGAACATCTGGAAGTGTTCGATTGATTCACTTGACTAGGTCAAGTCACGGGATGCTACTGTGCCGATTCGTAACCCCCGTGCGCCATACAAAACATCAAGCACCGGCGCATTAGCAAGTGACAGCTAGTATCTGTCAACTGGTGTTTTCGTAACTGCCTTTCTACTTTTGCGTTAGATAGTTTGTCGAATGCAAGTCGGGGCCTCACTGAATCAATGCAGATTAACACTCGAGTTAGTTGGTCGATGAGAAAGTAAACTAGCACAGAGAAACTGACGGATGAACTGAGTCGGGTCTAGACTAAAAGTCACCTGGGATATGACGCTTTTGTACATTACGCTTTCTCATCCAACCAATGCGACGATGTTCATGGTTTTTTCCAATGATCTTTGTCCGTCTCCCCATTTCCCTCGGCCATTATTTTCATGGCAGCGAACCCATTGCTGACCGAGAGAGAATCGGTATGCAGTCTTCGATTAGTGCTTCTGCGGGCCAGCACCTGACTGACAGTAGAGGTTGTGGTAGGTACCGGTGCAGTGTGAAGCCAACTTTGGCAACAATTTACATTGACATTATTTTATTCCGTGTGTTTTAGGACCTTCTTATCAAATCCCGTGTGTTCTTCATTGTACTTTCGACGAACGGGCATGCAAAAACAACATTGTTCACGTACTCTCAACAAGTCACATGAATCTGCACGTATTCTATTGGATTTACTTGTATTTTAGATCAGCTTAGTCACAACATGTGGTTGCGCATGGCCGACTTGGATTAGATGACTGGCTAACTCAAATCTGGCGCAAAAAGTCGGCATTGAACTGGGATCATTTTGAAGTTAATATCTTTAAAAGGCAGTTAGCTCTAAGACATCAGTATGAGCTTATCCTCTGCGTTTAGAGCGGGATAGTGGGGGGAGGGGTCGACGCACTCACAATACATGTAAAGGAGATTCAGCAATTTGGTCAGTTGTGACCAGTTTGTGTAATGTCATCAGTTAAATAAACGTTTCATAATGCTGACCGACTGCTGTTACTTCACCACCCGCTGCGGAAGGAGGGCGCCGAAACGTGCATGAAATGGCTAAAACTAAACCGTAAAGAGTGCTCGATCAAATTTTTAAGCGCAAGACATAAGATTACGTAAACAACGCATCCAGGTCGAGTTAGAAACAGTGTGCACGAAAACAACCTATTTTAAAATAAATGTGTAAAACTTGTTGATCAAAAACGCTCTCAACCACTTCAAAGTAACAACGGAGTTCAGCATCATGACAACTTTTCAGTTCCCCATTTAAGAATCAGAAAAGTCCACTTACCTGGCAAGACTTGATTATATCATTGAAGAAAGGATCAAGCAACAGATTCCCAAGATTGGGGTTTTTGTCAAAAGCCTCTTTTATGTTTCCAAGAAATTTACTGAAAAACAAACGAAAAGATCGATAAGCAAGTACGCATGAGTTTTGAAAATGCGCTCGAATGATTATATATAAACCCTGTAGTGCAGGTAAGAAATCGATGAGATGATGTACAGTTGGTCAATTCCATTTGAAAAATACGACACCTACAGCTGGATCACTGAAGTGACCTGGGGCGATTTCGAGTGACGATGTATTGCTGAACACGAAAGAGATCAATCACATTATTGCGTCACAAATGAACCGAAGCTCAAGTCTGCATACCTCTGGTTCTTTGATCTCTATTGGTTGGCGCACTTGGCTGCCTTGAAGGCTACTCTCCTACCAAATTGGATAATGGGGGGAGATCAAACGAATTCGGTCCTTTGGTCCTCTGGGTTGGGGGTCGGAAATCGGTTGCCACTCATGTTTGTAACATTACCCAATCTTATGAACTGTTGCTTTGCAATCAGGCTCTTCAATCATAGGTCTTAGTTCGAGGTCCTAGTTGTTCTTCTGCCCAAATTCCGATTAAAGTACAATCATAACTCACTAAATTCCTAGCTCATTTTGCGCTAGCCGTCGCGCAGACCCAAAACCATCGACATAGCAGCCACATATGAAAAGGTAGAAAGGCGAAGACAGAGTAATGTCCATATCTCCTTCCCCTTTACTATACCGAGTATCTCCTACAACCCACGCAGTTGCCCGTGGAAGTGAAAACGGCAGAAGTTCTACTGAAATTTCGCTATTTGATGTATACATTGGTTTCCTGTCAGCAATCACGCTACTCATTCGCAACCCAAGGAAATGGGTCAGTAGGCCTTATCTGCACGTACGTTAAATCGATCAATCGCGGATGTGTACTGTATCTGAAAATGGAACCCGCGATCTCAGAACCGCTATTGAATTAACTGTGTCCAACCTCGACAGCATGGTTGCACGCACCCGGAGATGCTGATGCAACGACCTCAGGTCAAACTGGAATGACCATCGTTCTTAGCACCGAAGTTGAACCCTCGGTTAAATGGATTACCTTAAACAACAGTCCATGGAAGGCCCGGCTGACCACACAGGCTGCATGGAGCAGCGCTGGACGCTGCATTGGATCGCGGTCTTAACCTTTCTTACCACGACTGTGCACTATTTGATAGTGCTACCAGCACAAACACAACTGAAGTTTTATTTGCTTCATCGCAATTAGAGTACAAGCCGTACAGGCAAGCTACCAATCCGGAAAAGCATCAGATCGTTTCGTCCTAGTGGGACTCGTCATCGGTGCGCATTCCCTCGGTCCCCTGATATGGATTGAACCCAAGTGGCTTACACCACTAGCCAGCAGCTTATGATTTTCCGGATTGGTAGCTTACCTATGAGGTTTGTAATCTAATAGCGATGAACCAGATAGAATCATACCTAAATACGTCTACTCATTAGTAAGAATTCAAGTTGTTCAAAGCTGAATTTAGGGAGCA